AGGAAGTTAAAAAACTACAATTACAACTATACCACAAAGTACCAGAACCTTATAACCAAAAAATGCCAAAGCAAGATTTCACCCAAAAAAGTGATCAAATCACATAGACTCTAAGTCTTCTCAAGGAAGAGAGCTGATGGAAATCTCTGAGAAGGAATTCAGAAGAATGACTGTTCTGTGTTTTCACAGGATAGAAGAAAAGAGTGAAGAAGTGAAGGAATCCACAAGCACAATTCTAGAATAATTAAAAGATAATTGCAAGATAAAATAGATGAAAGCAGTGGAATACTAGAAAACATAAAAAAACAGGAAATTGAAATGTGTAATAATACCACCAAGATCTCAGAAGCTGTCAGCATGTTGGAAGGCTAAAGAACAGAATTGAAGAAATAAAGCACAGAAGAAGAGAAATAGAAGCCAAAGCCCTCAATACTAATCCTTTGGAGGAAAAGGTAGAAATAAGAAAATAAAATGAAGAAAGCATGAGAATTATGTGACACTATCAAGAAAAATAACATTTATGATTGGAATTCCAGACTGGAAGAGAAAAAAAAAAGCAGCAAGAAAATTATGGAATATTTGCTAGAAGAAAACTTTCCAACTATCATTAAAAATGTATTCAAAGGCCAAGAGAACCCCAAACAGGACAGATTCCAAAAGAAAAGCCGGAAGACATATCCTAGTAACATTCTTCAAAACCACAGTGATAGAATACTGAAAGCTATTCAGAGAAAACAAAGAGTTACCTACAAAGGAAAATTAGTAAGATTAAGCTCTGTTTCTCAGCAGAAACCATGCAAGCAAGAAGATGGTAGGATAGTGTATAAAAAAAATCTGAAAGAAAACAACCACTAACAGAGAATCCCGTGCTTAGAGAAACTGTCCATCAATTGTGATGAAAAAACAAAGACATTCTCAGAAAAGCAGCAATTAAGTAAATTGGTGAAAACTAGATGAACCCTAGAAGAAATGCTAAAGAGAGTTTGTCACACAGAGACAAGAGAGAACAGAAGATGGAACAAAATAATCAACAACAGAACAACAATAATAGTAGGAAACCTTGAAATAGTAATCTTGATGAAGGACAGAATGACTCGAAAGAAACTCAAAGATACAGAAGAATTAAGTGAGACAGTCAACCAACTTGACCCCATAGAAATATATACAACATTCTTCTCAACAAAAGCATAATAGATATTCTTCTCTAATGCACATGGAACAGTACCAAAATAGACCATACGTTGGGGCATTAAAAAATAGCTTGTTTGTTTACTACTGAGTAATAGAAAAAATAGAAAGCAAAAATGAAACAGTTTCTTGAAACAAATGATAATTAAAACACAATATACAAAGCCTATGGACCTCTTCAAAGTGCTGAAGAGCAATGGTGTCTCTTTGGAGACTAAGGTGTGTCTGATACAGGCCATGGTCTTCGCAATCACCTGTTATGCATCAGAGAGTTGAACAATGACCAAGGAGGATAGAAGGAGAATTGATGCCTTTGAGCTGTGCTGCTGGAGAAGAGTACTGAGAATGGATCTTGGCTGAAAGCAGAGAATACCAGAAGAATGTCTATCTGTGTGTCATTGATTATTCAAAGGCATTTGACTGTGTGGATCATAACAAACTGTGGCTGACTCTGAGAAGAATGGGAATCCCAGAACATTTAATTGTGCTAATGCAAAACCTATACTTGGACCAAGAGGCAGTAGTCAGAACAGAGCAGGGTAACACTGCATGGTTCAAAATTGGGAAGGGTGTACGCCAGGGATGCATCCTGTCTCCATACCTTTTCAACATGTATGCAGAGCAGATTATCCGAGAGGCTGGGCTCTATGAGGAGAATTGTGGCATCAGGATTGGTGGAAGATCTATTAACAATCTGCGTTATGCAGATGACACAACCCTGCTTGCTGAAACTGAGGAGGACCTCATGCACTTGCTGCGAAGGGTCAAGGACTGCAGCCATCAGTATGGACTGAGGCTCAATGTCAAGAAGACAAAGATTCTCGCCACTGGACCGATTGGCAGCATCACGATGGATGACGAAGAGATTGAGAGTGTTCACAGCTTCAGTTTGCTCGGCTCCACTGTCAACACTCTTGGCACCAGCAGTCAGGATATCAAAAAGCGTATTGCGATGGGAAAGTCTGCTGTTAGGGACCTCTCTAAGGTGCTGAGGAGCAATGGTGTCTCTTTGGAGACTAAGGTGTGTCTGATACAGGCCATGGTCTTTGCAATCACTTGTTATGCATCAGAGAGTTGGACAATGACTAGGGAGGATAGAAGGAGAGTTGATGCTTTTGAGCTGTGGTGCTGGAGAAGGGTATTGAGTGTACCATGGACTGCTAGGAAAACAAATAGATTTGTCTTGGAGAGGGTTAAACCGGGTTGCTCCTTGGAGGCAAGGATTCTGGGGCTTCGTCTGGCATATTTTGGACATGTTGCCAGGAGGGTCGGGTCCTTTGAGAGGGACATCATGCTTGGGAGGGTGGAGGGACGGCGCAGGAGGGGAAGACCCTCTATGAGATGGACTAATTCGGTGACTGGGGTAATTGGGATGGGTGTGTCAGAGGCTGTGCAGTTGGCGCAGGATAGAGCAGGGTTTAGGGCTCTTGTGCATAGGGTCGCTATGAGTCGGAAATGACTCGACGGCACATAACAACAACAACAACAAGCTAGGAAAACAAACAGATTTGTCCTGGAAAGGGTTAAACCGGGTGGCTCATTGGAGGCAAGGATTCTGAGGCTCCGTCTAGCATACTTTGGACATGTTGTGAGGAGAGACCGGTCCTTAGAGAGAGACATCATGCTTGGGAGGGAGGAGGGACGGCGCAGGAGAGGAAGGCCCTCTATGAGGTGGATTGATTCAGTGAGTGGGATAATTGGTTTGAGAGTGTCAGAGACAGTGCGATTGGCACAGGACAGAGCGGAGTTTAGGGCTGCTATACATAGGGTCGCTATGAGTCGCAAGCGACTCGATGACACATAACAACAACAACATATAACACAGCAAAAGCAATAGGCAGAGGTCAATTTACAACAATAAACAAATATATCCCCAAAGAAGGAAATAAAAACCAACTCCTTAACCCAACATCTCCAACAATTAGAAAAAGAATAGCAAGAAAACTCCAGAACTCTTAGAAAAAAGTAAAAGAATAAATATGAGAACAGAAATAAGTTAAGTATAAACCAGAAAAACAATAAAAAACTATCTATTGACAGATGGTTCTTTCAAAGGCTTAATAATACAGACAAATACCAGCAAGCCTAACCAAGGTAAACAAAGAGAAGACTATAAAGAACTTGAATGAGAAAGGAAATGGATGACATAACAACAGAATCAATTGAAATACAAAGGATAATAATGAAATCCTACATGAAGAACCACTTCAATAAAGATTGCATCTCAATATCAAGAAAACAAAAATCCTCACTACTGGACCAGTAGGCAACATCATGATAGATGGAGAAAAGATAAAATTTGACAACAATTTATTTTGCTTCAATCAATCCATAGCCAACATTCTTGGTATCAGCAGTCAAGAGATCAGGAGACTTATAGTATTGAGAAAGTCTGCTGTCATGGATCTCTCCAAAATTCTAAAAAACAATGATGTCAGCCTAAAACTAAGATGTGCCTGATCCAGGCCACAGTCTTCCCGATCGCCTGCTCTACATTGGAGAGCTGGAAAATAAATAAGGATGACAGAAGAAGAATAGATACATTTGAGTTGTGGTGTTGGAAAGAGAGCTGACTATCCCATGGACTGCCAGTAGTACAAGTATTGAAATAAGGGCAACAAGTATGTTCCTTAGAGGCAAAGCTGATGAAGCTCACATTTTAGACATGTTGTTGTTGTTGTGGTTATGTGCCGTCCACTCGCCAGCAACTCATAGCGACACTATGTACAACAGCCTCAAATCCTATTCTATCCCTTGCCAATCTTATTGTTTCAGACATGCTTATCCCCATGGAATCAATCCATCTCATGGAAGGTCTTCTTCTCTTGTGCTGTCTCTCCACCCTCCCAAGTACGACATCCCTCTCCAAGGACTGATTCAGCCTTGCAACATATCCAAAGTATGTCAGAGGGAGCTTCAGAGGAGCCAGGGGCACAGTGCATGTGGCAGAAAGTCTCTCAGCATACCACACAGGTACAAATAACTATGACTCCCAGAAGCCAGCTGGTCAAACCCACCTTCAAATTTTGGAACACAGAGCGCAGCGCAGGGGGCAGAAGGGAGGAGCTGGGAGGCACTGTGTGTATGGCAGAAAGTCTCTCAGAGGACATGTTGTTAGGAGAGGCTCTTTGGAAAAGGGAGCTCCTGTGGCCTACTGGTAAGAAGCTGCACTGCAATCCTGAGGTCATGTGGTTCAAATCCACCAGCTGCTCTGTGGGAGAAAGATGGACAATCTCCTCCTTCGGGTTGACAGTGCAACTTTTTAACAGCAGGTCACCAGAGCTCCCTAGTCATAGGTATGCACCCAAGATCTTTGTAGAATGTAGATTTCTATACAATGAGCTTGGGGAAGAAATACAATTTGTTAGCAGGAGGTCAAATCAGAATGAGTCACTCTGAAGCCCTATGAGATTAAACTGATGATAGTCTGGGGTCTACCTATAGTATAATTCATGAAAGCCAAACTTATGAAAGTTTCCATGAAAATAAGCATAGAGTAGGGGCAAAACTTCCTCCCATCAAAGACAGGAAATTGTGGGACCAGGAAAATCAAGGCTATCAAGGCTGTCCCATTAAGTTCTAATTATCATCAATTTAACTCCAGTTCCCCTATCTTTGAAGTTTGTTTTTTATTATTTATCAATACTTTACACTCAAGGCAAGAATTTAAGAGAGTAGAATAACACCATATAAAACCCAACTTAAATTCCTGAGCTTGGAGCCACTGTTCTCTTTAGTAATGTAATGTGATAGCGCTCTCTGTGTGTTTGAAAGGCAAAGCTGGCTAGGCTAACTTGGCCTGTGGACGTTACCTTGAGCACAGCTGAGCCGATAGCACAGGCCAAGGGGTTACCACCGAAGGTGTTGAAGTGAAGTAGGCGTTTACTCAGAGACTTGGCAATCTCTAGGGGGGGAGAGAAATAAAAGGTTTATAAGGAATGGCACATTCTTATTTGTCATCTTCCATTAAACAAATCAGACTATGTGCTTATCTTGATGTTGCAAATGGCTCCATTTCCAATTCATTCCTCACCCATCTGATAGTGGATAAAGAAAATGTCTTTTTAAAAAATTATTAATTTTAATGAAAATTTACAGAGACTTATGGTTTCCAATCATTCATTGTTGCACTTCTCTCCCTGCCCACTCTCTCTCCCTGAGTTCGCTCTCCTCTTTGAAAAGTAAAAGAAAAATTCTTTCATTGTTATAAATCCCTCCCCCCAAGTCCATTCCACTATGCAGCCTTCATTCTGGACTCCTGTCATGATAATAATACCTAATCATATATTGCTTTTAAACAGTTCTCTCCCTCATATGTTTCAATGCAGTATTATTTATTCCCTCTTTCTCAGTCTCCCCTCAACCTTGATGTCCCGTTTTACAACAGTGGCACTATGTAGTATTTGTCCTTTTGTGACTAAGATATTTCACTCAGCATAATGTCCTCTAGGGTCACCCATTTTGTATTATATTTCATAAGTTCTTTGTTGCTCAATGTAGCATAGTATTCCATTGTGTGAATATACCACAGCTTCTCTATCCATTTGTTTGTTGATGGGCACTTAGGTTGTTTCCAACTCTTTGCTATTGTGAACAAAGCCTCAATAAACATGGGTGTGCATATATCTGCTTGGGTGGTAGTTATGGTTTCTTTAGGGTATATTCTCAGTAGAGGAATTGCTGGGTCAAATAGTATTTCTATTTTCAACTTTTTGAGAAAGTGCCATACAGCCTTCCATCGTCGTTGCACCATTTTACACTCCCACCAACAATGAATAAGGGTTTCAGGTTCTCCACAACCTCGCCAGCATTTATGTTTGCTACTCTGTTAAATTTTGCTATTCTTACAGGGGTGAGATGATATCTCATAGTTGTTTTGATTTGCATCTCTCTTAGAGCTAGGGATTTTGAATATTACTTCATGTGTTTGTTTGCCATCTGAATGTCTTTGTTGGTGAAGTGTCTGTTCATATCTTGTGCCCAATTTTTAATTGAGTTATTTACTTTTTTCTTGTTGTGGTGCTTGAGTATTTTGTAAAATCTAAATACAAGCCCCTTATCTGACATGTCATTACCAAATATTTTTTTCCCAGTCTTTGGCTTCCCTATTTACCCTGTTGGAGAAGTTTTTGAATGTGCATAGGGAGAAAAATGGCTTTGATTTGATAAATTTTTTTTATAGTTTGTGTGAACGCAATAGTACTTTAAAGCTTGATTTATAAGTACCTGCACAGATCCTTCCTTTAGTTAAATTTATTTTATTGTATTCTGCCCTTTAAACTAAGCAGGAATACCATGAAAACAATTCCTCATCAAGGATTTAATGAAACAATTTTTTTTTTAGTATTCATATCATCAATTTAATGATTTTGTTGTTCTTCTTCCTTTGGTTTTGTCGACTGAAGTACAATCTACGTGCAATAAACTGCACATATTTAAAGAGTACAATTGAATAAGATATGTATATACAAATGAAAACATCACAAAATAAAAGTAGTGACAGTACTTATCACTCCTAAAAGTTTCCTCTTGCTTCTTTTTATAAAATTAATTTAAATGAAAGTTTACAGAAACTGGATTTCCATTCATTCATTGTTGCACTTTCCTCCCTGCACAAACTTCCCCTCAGTTCATTCTTTTCTTTGAAAAGAAAAAGAAAAATTCTTTCATTTTATACAATCCCTCCCCCCAAGTCCACTCCACTATGCAGCCTTCGTTCTGGACTCCTGTCATGACAATAATATCTAATCATATATTCCTCCTGTTGTTGTTATTGTGCACTGTCAAGTCAGAAATGACCCATAGCTGACCCTTCATTGGGTTTTCAGAGACAGTAAATCACATAAGACGAGTCCATCCTTCTGTGGAGTAGCTAGTGGCTTTGAACCACGTGCCTGGCTTTGAACCACATGCCTTTGGGATTGCAGTGCAGAAGAGATCGATATTTGTTCCTATCCCAAAGAAAGGCGACCCAACCAAATGTGGAAACTACAGAACAATCTCACTGATTTCACATGCAAGCAAGATTTTACTGAAGATTATCCAAAAATTACTGGAACAGCACATCAACAGAGAACTACCAGAAGTCCAGGCTGGTTTCAGAAGGGGTCGTGGTACTAGAGATATTGTAGCTGATGTTAGATGGATCTTGGCTGAAAGCAGGGAATACCAGAGGAATTTCTATCTGTGTTTCATTGACTATGCAAAGGCATTTGACTGTGTAGATCATAACAAACTGTGGCTGACTCTGAGAAGAATGGGAATCCCAGAACACTTGATGGTTCTAATGCGAAACTTATACTTGGACCAGGAGGCAGTCGTCAGAACAGAGCAAGGGAACACTGCATGGTTCAAAATTGGGAAGGGCGTAAACCAAGGATGCATCCTATCTCCATACCTTTTCAACCTATATGCAGAACAGATTATCCGGGAGGCTGGGCTCTATGAGGAAAAATGTGGGGTCAAGATTGGTGGATGATTTATCAACAATCTGCGTTATGTGGATGACACAACCCTGCTTGCTGAAACTGAGGAGGACCTGAAACGCCTGCTGCAGAGTGTCAAGGACTGCAGCCTACAATATGGATTGAGGCTCAATGTTAAGAAGACAAAGATTCTCACCACTGGACCAATTGGCAGCATCAGGATGGATGGTGAAGAGATTGAGATTGTACACAGCTTTTGTTTGCTTGGCTCCATAGTCAACAGTTTTGGCACCAGCAGCCAGGAAATTAAAAGGCTCATTGCCATGGGAAAGTCTGCTGTTAGGGACCTCTCCAAAGTGCTGAAGAGCAGTGGTGTCTCTCTGGAGACTAAGGTGTGTCTGATACAGGCCATGGTCTTCGCAATCACCTGTTATGCATCAGAGAGTTGGACAATGACCAAGGAGGATAGAAGGAGAATTGATGCCTTTGAGCTGTGGTGCTGGAGAAGAGTATTGAGAATACCATGGACTGCTAGGAAAACAAACAGATTTGTCCTGGAGAGGGTTAAACCGGGTGGCTCCTTGGAGGCAAGGATTCTGAGGCTCCGTCTAACTTACTTTGGACATGTTGTGAGGAGAGACCGGTCCTTAGAGAGGGACATCATGCTTGGGAGGGTGGAGGGACGGCACAGGAGAGGAAGGCCCTCTATGAGGTGGATTGATTCAGTGACTGGGATAATTGGGATGGGAGTGACAGAGACAGTGCGATTGGCACAGGACAGAGCGGAGTTTAGGGCTGTTGTACATAGGGTTGCTATGAGTCGCAGGCGACTCGACGGCACATAACAACAACAACAACAACAACTTCCTCCTATACAGTTCTCTCTCCCATATGTTTCAATGCAGTATACATAATTTATCCCATCTTTCTCAGTCTCCCCTCAACCCCGATGTCAGTCCCATTTTACAACAGTGGCACTATGCATTATTCGTCCTTTTGTGACTGAGATGTATCACTCAGGATAATGTCCTCCAGGGTCAGCCATTTTGTATAATATTTCATGAGTTCCTTGTTTTTCAATGAGGCATAGTATTCCATTGCGTGAATACATCAAAGCTTCTCTATCCATTCATTTGTTGATGCGCACTTTGATTGTTTCCAACTCCTTGCTATTGTGAACAAAGCCGCGGCATAACTTTTGCACTATTTGATGGAATAGAGTAGTCATATCATGGTGCTCCGTCTCTATGTTCACATTTTTGAGCCTTTATCATTCACACCTGTTTGCCAGCTGGTCTTACTGTGGTGACTTATGAGGCTCTGTTGTTGTTAGGTGCTATTGGGTTGAATATGATTCACAGTGACCTTAAGCGTAACAGATCTAGACCCTTTCCTATCCTGTGCCGTTCTCACGCTTCCTGACACACTCGAGCTCACTGTCGTAGTCGCTGTGTTCACTCCCCTGGCTGAGTATCTTCCTCTCTTTTGCCCACCTCCACCCCCTGCCCCTTTCTAAGATGATGTCCTCTCCAAGGAATAGTCTCTCTAAGCACATGCTCAGAGTATATGAAATGAAGCTTTATCATCTTTGCTTTCAAGGACCACTCTAGCTACACTTTCTCAAAGTCATATTTTTTGGCAGTCCATTCAGCATTCTTCCCCAACCACAGCTCAAAGGCATCCGTTCTTTTGTATCTGCATAAGACAGGTTGTTGATGTGTCTTCCTCTGGTCCTGATGTCACATTCTTCTTCATCGAGCCTAGCTTCTCAAATGATTTGCTCAGCTCACAGATTGCACAGTTATGGAGAAAGGATACTTTCCTGATGCACATCTATGTTGATTTTAAACCTGCAGTCTTCCTTTGCTCAGTTCAGATAACAACTTCTTGGTCTACGTATGAGTTTCATATATGTATAATTAATTGCTCTGGGATTCCCATTTCAGTTCCTGAAAATTAGTCACTGAAAAACCTATGGATCATGGCAGGATCACTGGTAAGAGTGCTGGACAGTGGGGCAGGTATGGGAAATGTTTTGTTCTCTTATGCATGAGGCCACCATTAGTTGGAAGCAACTCAATGGATCTGTCAACATTTCCTTCAATGAAGTTGCTGAAATATCACAAACCTTGTCACCTCTACTACTTTAAGCTTAATTCTGACTCATATCAACTGGTTAGGACAGAGTAAAGCTGTAATATAAGGTTCCCAAGCTGTAATCTTTATGCAAGCAGACTGTCAGACATCTCTTATCCCATACAGTAGTTGGTGAATTTGGACTACCAATTAAACAGTCCAGCACTAAACTACTGTGTCACCAGGATTCCTTGAGACATCACACGCCACTTCATTATCGTTTAGTTTCTCTGTGGTAGTCTTACTGCTGGTGGGATAAACAAACAGAAAAATTTTAAGAGTTCTCAACATTAAGTGTTTCACAAAAAATATTTTCTGGAAAACTTGCTGGAGAATGAAAATGAAGTTGATTCTAATGTGCATTGTCTGGAATGCTGTTACTAATTGCATCAAACAGCATTTGAGTGTTTGGTTGACGATTGATAATGCAGATGGTTCAGCAATTGTTGGACTGTTAGCCAAAAGGAAAGCAGTTCAAATCTTCCAGCCCCTCTATGGGAGAAAGAGGAATCACTCTGCTTTGGCTAAGATTTACAGTCTCTGAAACCTGATGGAGGGTTGCCGTGAGCTGCTATCAACTCCATGGCACAGACTTGACTTTGTTTGGGCTGATGAATAATCTTATTTTGTTCTTTATGTTTTCCTGGACTATTATTGATGTGGCAAGACTAGGTAAGCATCTCCTTCCACATTATGACTCCCATGAAACTTCAGGGTTGGTTTTGTTCAGTTGTGTTTTCACTATGGAGGTGGGAGGTGGATAGTTTTATATCAAGAGCAGACAGGTTGTCTTTCTCTCATCTGTTCCACAATCTGTCACGCAAGCTGTCTCTTTCATTAGCTGGGAAATTCCCTGTGTAGTTTTGATTCCAATTTCCAATCCACATGATTTCAAATATAAGAGTTCCATACTCTCACCAGTACAGAAGTTCCCAAAGCACACACACATTGTCTGAAGGTCCTACCTGGAGTTGTAACAACCGCTGCCATGGGAAAGCCATTCCCAATGCCTTTAGCCATGGTGACAATGTCAGGCAGGACACCGTGGGTTTGGAAGCCCCAGAAGTGAGAGCCTAACCTTCCAAATCCTGTCTGTATCTGATGGAAACAAATTAAAAATATTGGAATACTTTCCAAAAACACTGGTTCCTGACTATCTGATCTCTTCGTTTTCCTCTTTTCTGGTATACCTCCTCCTCATCAAGATCTTCGTCACTGTTACCACCAATATCAGTGTACTATAGTGGACAAAGCACTTAGTCTGTGGCTGGACTTTTTGGTTCTTCTGGTGGCTTAATGGTTAGGGAATTACACTGCCAACCCAAAGGCAGGAGGTTCAAATCCACCAGGTTACCAACAGGACAAAGATGGGAAATCTCCATGTGTGTAATTTACAGCTTCTGAAAACCTACTGGAAGTCAGTTATAAGTTGGCTCCTGCTGGATAGCAATGAGTATGAGAGTGTGTTATTTATTTGCTGTGCGTAACTAGATAAGTGTTTTATTTTCTCTACACTTGTGTTATTTCAGCTCTCTAAGAGAAATACTGGTAACAGTTTGTCACTGGGCTGCTCTAAGGGTCATATACATGGTGCATGGCAAAGAACCCATAAAAGAAATCTCTTGCCATAGTGTCCATCTCAACTTCTGGACATCCCATTCAGGACAGGGTTCAGAATTGTTTATAGGGTTGCTGTGAGTCATACTCCACCCAAAAGCCCCTAACAACATCAGCTTTAACTGATCTAGTATGTGTAAAGTATTATAGACAATGACTGGAGCATAGTTAAGTCTCAGAAAATCCTGGTTATTCTTGTCTTTACCTAGTCATTAGGACAGTTCTTCTCAAGGTCACCTTGCCTTTTGTAGTTTCTAATTACTCACTTAAAAGTAAAAAAAAAAAAAAAAACCAACCACCAAATCTTAGAAAAGTCTGAAATCTGTATTTTTCTTTTAATTCTATCTACCTTCCCTCTAATTAGTCCAAGTAATGGCAGCTTTGCTGTGTGCTGATTACTAAGGTCAAAGTCTAACCTCTTGGTTGGTGTAGCTAATTGTGAACTAGCTTACTATGCCTTTCATCTCCTCTTTAAACAGCAGATGAACTGTGTTTACCTTGGACTTTGATTAGTTCTTATGCTGTGACCCTGCATGGGGCCAGGAGGAGGAGGAGGCTGCCCAAATGTTCTTGGGTGGCACACAGGGATCATCCAGTCCTCACAGGGCTAAATTGCTTATTATTTAAAAAAATCTCACTCGTGAGCAAATTTTGTCAGTAAGGTAAAATGAATGCTACTAGTTTGGTTAATATTATTCTAGTCAAAGTTAAGGTTGAGACTTAGGTATGGGAGCAAATGTCCCATGTGGTTTGTCCCCTGAAACAATCATCCCCAAATAGGCAATGCACATCGACATGGAACATTACGACTGGCCGGTACGAACATATTTGGTTAGCATCATCTAGATGTTTAAGTTATACTGTACTGGCTAAATCAACGGACTTATCCCTTAACAAAGCAACCAACAAAATCTTCATTAATTTATAGCCACACTGTGGACTTCCACACCATGCTTTCCAGCTGGGATGCAGAGAAGGCAAGAAATGGGTTCTTCTGGGCCCTTCCTGTCCTCATGCCTGTGAAATGCACCGGTGACATCACCACTCACTTCATCTGCGATGCATACGCCTCCCTTCTCTCGAACCAGCTGGAAGGCTTCTTTCAGAAACCCCTTAGGGTACTGAATAACCCCATTTACACCCTGCAAAAGAGCAAGCCGGGAAGACCTGTATCACTAGCTTGAAGAATTTTAAAACGTGTTACAAACGCATCATGATCTTAATTTTCAATAATAACGACAACTTTGAAAAGACCCCCATACCAAACCATCAGTCTGTAAGACTGATTCAAATATGAGTAAGTAGAAATGCCATTTCTCTTATGATGTACCTTCTGGATAAAGAATACAAATATTAATTCTTTCTTGATATTTGAAGAAGGTAGAACAAAAGGATTTTGTAAGATTAAAGCAAGACTCCCCTGACAGTGTGGTTTTAGGTGACAGAAGCCTCCTTTTCTGAAGAAGAATTTTAGAAACTCAATGGTTCGATTTATCTGTTCAGTCTGACAATGCAGGAGACAATTTTCTAAAGTTGACTTGGAAATCAGGTACCCTCTATTTTCAAGGTGAGGAAGAGAATGAACTGAACTCAGGTGTTTAACATTGCCTGGAATTCTATAGAAGGTGAGTTAAAACTCTCTGATAATTTAAAAACTCAGCTGACTCAAGGTTTAATGTTGATATACCCACTTGAATTGGTTCTGCAAAAAATCCAGCAACTGATTTGGCTACGACTGTGTTCAGAGTATCTTTGAATTGCTCTACATACAGGTCTTTAGCTTGGCAACTTTCTAAAAAAAACAAAACACAACAAACAACATTTGAAATTGTGAGACTGGCATACAAAATAATGGGAACAAATAAAACAGAATAGAAAACAGGTTCGCTGAATTGATTACTGTTCCTCAGAATATAGCATACCAGGATATAAGGGTTCAGACTTCTGAAAGAGAAATGTTTTGTTAGAATGGCTTGGACTTCTTTTTAAGGCAGAGGACCAATACAGTGATAAAGAGTTGATACCAAGCCTCTTTAGTTATTTCCAACTCAGGAAGAAATGCCTCAAACTAGCATTAGGTCTGGAACATAGCTGCTGCTGCTTTTGTTAGGTGCCATTGAGCTGACTCCAACTCATAGCAACCCTTTGTACAACACTGAAACCTTACTCAAGCTGGAGTCATCCTCCAAGCCTCCACTACACTTAATCCTATTGTTGCAGTTACTTAAGAATTTCTTGGAGTCCATGTCATTGATGACCTCCCTCTCTTCTGATGACCTTTTGACTTTCCAAGTATGATCCTTCTCCAAAGACTGGCTTCTCCTGAAAACATGCCCGAAGTCTTTGAGATGAAGTCGCAGTCTTTGGGTCCAAACAATAGTTGGCTGCACTTGTTCTAAGACAGATTTGCTTGTTCTTTTGCCCAGTCCATCTGTATTTCCAATACTCTACCAGCTCCACAATTCAAGGCATGAATTCTTTGATTTTCCTTACTCATGGTCCAACTTTCACTTGCGACTGAAACAATTAACCAAGGAATTTTCTGTTGTTTTTGTGCGCCGTAGAGTCAGAACTGAACCATAGCTGAGCCTCCAGCAGATTTTCAGAGACAGTTATGTCGCACAGTAGGAGACTGTTCATCCTTTTTCTGTGGAGCAGCTGGTGGATTTGAACTGTGTGCCTTTGGAATTAACAGTGCAGGTCCTTACCACTAGGCCACCAGAGCTCCCCTCTACTATCGATGAGTAGTTTTAATTCAAATGTAGCTGGGGGAGAGATTGAATCTTTCTGGAAAGGATTTATTTACTTTTTTCTGTCACTTAGCTGACATAAAAAGCTCTGGTAGTACCATTATGTGCTTTGCGGCTAATAGAAAAGACAGTGGTTTGAGTTCACAAGCCAATTCTCAGAAGAAAGCTGGAGTCTTCTGGAAAGATTTATACCTGTGGAGAGCAAGACCCAGAGGGGGGTGCTGAGGCATTAGAATTGGTAAGATGATAGTGGTTGAAGAATAAATTTGATGTGCAATTTCAAAACATCAAATTATCTCAGATGATAATAAATGAAATATGTTTGTAAGGCAATTAGAATTCAGTCTAAGGAGAAATGTCCTGGATTGAAATGACTTTCATCCATTGTAGTCCTTGCCACCTTTGGATTGTGCTCCTCTCCTTTATTAAAGACCATTAAAAAATATTTTATGCTGGTTTGCTTACAAAGTTTGTGTTCATTGTGTTTCGCATTATCTTTCATTAACATTGTGTCTCATGCAATCATTCCTATTCATTATGTTTTATGAAATTAATCATCATTGAACTATGCCTATGATTACCCTGTCTTTGCAGATCCCTGCTGGTTCTTTCCCATTTCCTTTACCCCCTTCCCTCCACTTACCAAATTATGTGACCCTATGATCTCCCATCACCCATCCTCCTCCCTCTTCTCTTCCTCTCTCCCTCTTGGATCCTCATGCACTTTTTACTAGTTATCTATTTCTACAATAATGGTCCTATGCAGTCTTCATCTTTTTTTTTTTAAATTTTTTTATATTGGTTTACTTACAAAGTTCGTATGTATTGTTTTTCACACCAGATCTTTCCCCTTTCCTTTCCTTTATTCCCTCCACCCATCAAGTTGGGGGACCTTATGATAAGCTCCCACTGGCCCTGCCCATACTTACCCATCTGCTCCTGTTCCCTACCTTGGGTCCTCCTACACGTTCTACAATAATGGTCTAATATAGTATTTGTCCTTATGGGACCCAGTTAGTTTGCTTAGCCTAGTGATCTCCACTTCCACCCAAGTTAAGTAGTAATTTACAAAACCGTTGCTCCTGTGTGCTGCATAGTATTCTATTGCATGAATGTACCATAATGACTCAACCTATTCGATTGTGGTTGGACATCTGGGCTGTTCCCATGTTCTTGTGATGGTGAATAACACTGCTAGGAACATTGATATACAAGTCTCTGTTTGGACCTTGATTCTCATTTTCTTGGGGCATATTCCAAGCAGTGGAATATGGAAATTTTATCTTCAGCTTTTTGAGGAAATGCCAAACTGCCTTCCAGAGTGGTTGTGTCATTTTACAATCCTACCGACAATGTATAAGAACTCCTATCTCTCCATATCCTCTCTGTCATTTATTGCTTGCTGTCCTATTAAACTTTGCCACTGCCACTGGGGTGAGATGGTATCTCACTGTGATTTTGTTTTGCATCTTTTTATTGCCAGTGATTTTGGGCATTTCTTCATGTATCTGTTGACCATCCAAATATCTTCTATGAAAAGTCTTTTCATGTCTTCAACCCATTTTGCAATTGTGCTAGAAGTCTTTTTCTTGTGGAGGCTCTGTAGGATTCTATAATATTTTGTTATGAGACCCTTGTCTGAGATGATATTGCCAAATGTTTTTCCCAAGTTAGTAGGCTTTCTTTTCACCCTGTTGGGAACAGTTTTTATACACACAGGGATTTAATGTTTAGAAGGTCTCATTCATCAATTTTATTCTCTCCTGGTTATGCATTTTTGGATTTTTTTCTGTTGTTGTTGTTGTTATGTGCCATCGAGTCGTTTCCGACTCATAGCGACCCTATGCACAACAGCTCTAAACCCTGCTCTATCCTGCGCCAACCGCACCACCTCTGACACACCCATCCCGATTACCCCAGTCACCGAATCAATCCATCTCATAGAGGGTCTTCCCTTCCTGCGCTGTCCCTCCACCCTCCCAAGCATGATGTCCCTCTCCAAGGACCCGTCCCTCCTGGCAACATGTCCAAAGTATGTCAGACGAAGCCCCAGAATCCTTGCCTCCAAGGAGTAGCTTGGTTTAATCCTCTCCAAGGTTGATCTGTTTGTTTTCCTGGCAGTCCAGGGTACATTCAGTACCCTTCTCCAGCACCACAGCTCAAAAGCATCCACTCTCCTTCTGTCCTCCCTAGTCATTGCCCAACTCTTTGATGCATAACAAGCCATTGCAAATACCATGACCTGTATCAGGTGCACCTTAGTCTCCAGAGAGACACTGTTGCTCCTGAGTACGTCGGATTTACAGTCCGATTTACAGTCGGATTTTTTTCTAGCCCCTTTAAAGCATGGGTTAGGCCTTCTAAGCTTGGTCCCGCATTATCCCTTATGATTTTTATGGGTTGGGGCTTTATTCCTAGCTTTCTGATCCACATTGACTTGATTTTTGTGTATGGTGTGAGGTGTGGATCCTGCATCAGCTTTTTGCCAGTTTTGCCAGCACCATTTGTTGACGAGGTTGTTCCTCCCCCATTTGATGGGTTTTATTTCCTTGTTGAATATAAGTTGACCTTAGATAGATGGATTAATTTCTGAGTACTTGATTCTGTTCCATTGGTCTATGTGCCTGTCATTGTTTTGGTTATTACAGATGGGTAGTAGGTTTTGAGATCAGGTAGTGCTATGTTTCCCACTTCATTCATGTTTTTCAGAAGTGCTTTGATTATTCAAGGTCTCTTTCTTCTCCAAATAAATTTGCAATGGCCTTTTCTATATCTTTGAAAAATTAATTTCTTACCTGTATTGGGATTGTGTTAAACATATAGATAGATTGCTTTTAGTAAGATTATAATTTTCACTATATTGAATCTTCCTATCCATGAATAAGGAACATTCCCCCCCCCCATTTATTTAGGCCTAAATATTGTTTCTCAGAAAAGTGTTTTGTAGCTTCCTTTTGTAAAGGTCTTTTGTATTTCTAGTTAAGTTTATTCTTAAGTAGCTCAATTTGTGGTTGGTTATTGTAAATGTTATTGCTTTCGTGGTTTCCTTCTCTGAGTTATCTTTGTTACTGTAGAGGAATCCCACTAACTTTTGTATTTTGATCTTGTATCCTGCCACTCTACTAAATTGGTCTACTAGCTCTAACAGTTTTTTAGTTGAGACCTTGGGATTTTCTCTGTACACTATCATATCATCTTCATATAGCAACAGTTTCATCATATCTTTGTTCATCTGGAGACTCTTATTTCATTCTCTTGTTGTATTGCCCTACAAATTACTCCTAATACAATCTTGAATATGGATGGTGAGAATGGGAATCCTTGTTTGGCCCCTTTTTGCAAGGAGAATGCTTTTAGTCTTTGTCCAATGAGAATGATATTGACTCTTGGTTTTGCATATATACCTTTCACTATGTTGAGGGAATTTCCCTCTATTCCTATTTTGCTGAGTATTTTAATCAGGAAGGGTATTGAATTTTGTCAAAGGGCTTTTCTACATCGATTTCTAGGATCACGTGGTTCTTATTATTTGCTTTGTTAATGTGATGAATTGTTGTTATTGTTATGTCCCTTTCCAAGGACCTGTCCCTCCTTACAACATGTCCAAAGTATGTCAGACAAAGCCCCAGAATCCTTGCCTCCAAGGAGCAGCTTGGTTTAACCCTCCCCAGGATAAATCTGTTTGTTTTCTTAGCAGTCCATGGTACCCTCAATACTCTTCTCCAGCACCACAGCTCAAAGACATCAATTCTCCTTCTATTCTCCCTAGTCATTGTCCAACTCTCTGATGAATAACAAATGATTGCAAAGACCATGGCCTATATTAGACACACCTTAGTCTCCAGAGAGACACCATTGCTCTTCAGTACTTTAGAGAGGTCCCTAACAGCAGACTTTCTCATCACAATACGTCTTTTAATTTCCTGGCTGCTAGTGCCAAGAGTGTTGATTGTGGAGCTAAGCAGACTAAAGCTGTGAACAATTTCCATATCTTCACCGTCCATGCTGATGCTCTCAATTGGCTACTGGTGAGAATCATTGT